ACACGTGGAAACCCACAGAATAATGGATAGAAAGGAAGAAATCATTTATGAAAAGAATTAAATTTGTTGTAACCGTGATAGAGAAGAGCTCAGTGCTGCGTCACTTACTTAGAAGTAGTGTTGGGAACAGAAAGAGTACTGCTTGCACTTCACCAGTCCTGTCCAGCAGGGTGTGTAAATCAGCCTGAAGACACCAATTTATTACAACTTGGAATTTTCTGTTCCATTATTTTATTAAATTAACACGAACTCTCCCTAAAGATCCAGATTTGCTAGATTTTACACTTCTGCAGTGTGTTTAGCAGTTAAATCACTGAAAGGTTTGTAAATATTTTTTTTCCTTCCTCCCCCACTTTTGGGGGGAAAAGCTTTGTAAACCTCTTGTCTCGACGACGAGGATGCGGGGCTGTGTGTGGTGGAGAAATAAAACCTGTATTTTGTGCTGCATTTCTTCTAACAGCAGGTTTTTGTATTCAGTGCTCGGCGAGGAGATGAGGGCTCTTGTGTCTGCTGTTCTTGTTTTCACTTTTCTAAATAAAGAAATTTCTAGGTCCTGCCTGGACTGGGTTTGTCTTGACGTTTGAGAATTTAACCTCTTTCAGTCTCTCAAGAGTTTACAGCACACTATGATGTGACCTTTGAACTTGGACCTGAATTTCAAAAAGTCCCGTCTAGTGTTGGTGAGCTACCCCTGGGGTTCCTGTAGAGGGCGCCAGCGATCGCTCTTCCGCGCTGCAGTCAGCCATAGGCAGCGCCCTGTTGAGAGGAGTGCTGGGGCGTCAGCTGACCTGCCCACCTGAGCCGATCATGAAAGCCAGTGGGACCTCAGCATGCCCTCCCCTAAACCCAGACACCGAAAATAGTGCTCAAGCTTTCTGGGACCGGTCACATTGCGCTCCCTTTGTCCTGAAACTCGCGCAAGAAGCAGAAGGTGGAAGTAGTAACAATCCTCCGTATGGAAATATATTTGTTTAACTCTAGAGCCGAATGTGGAGTAAAGTCAGCTTTCCAACACATCCTGTAAGTGTTTCTTGAGCATCTCCGTATTATTTTGGGGTTACGGGTAACAGCAGCACAGGAGGAGTGTAAGAAAATGACGACTCTCGGATGTCGTGGTGCTCAGGGGACACCTCCAGACCCGGCTCCACTCGGGCTGACAGCTCGCCCTCAGTTTAAACGTTGGGAAACCTTGGATGCTGCTCATGTGTTAGGCGAGTAGACCTGAAATGTCTGTTTTAGGGAACTATGACCCTGGAGGAGGGTTGTTCCAGACGATGTCTGGATTATTGAACAACCGTACTGCTTGACTGACCGCTCCAGGTCAGAGCACAGAGTTCAAGAAGAAGTTAAACATTTCCCGGATTTCGTCACTGGCCCTGGGTTCGGGTTGACTTTCTTTAAAGCCCAAACATGTATGAAAAGGCCGCACTGCCCCCAGCCTGGCCTTTGAACGAGCCATGAGGAGACTCGATGGCGCGCCGGGGAGCACAGCCCCGATTCGCCCCGAATCCGCCCTCCCGAATCAGTACGCGAGTCCGCTCGTCCCCTGCCGGAACCGCTTCTGGTCTGGACTGGCAGACCTGGAGGCCTGGAGGAGAACCGTCACGCGGCGCCGGCCGGTGAGAGTCTATCCGCTGTACTCGCACGGGGGGAGGATGATGATGATGTTTATTATAATTATTATTGTTGTTGTTGTTGTTGTTGTTGTGGAAATTCCCTGCCGCTGTTAAATCTCAAAGTCAAGTGAAACAATATCTGTACGTCAATATCTGACGCCTCGCTCACGGTATTCCCTTATAACTATTACGTCGGGACATGCAAACGTTCCCGAATATCCCCCCCGGTCTTTTTTCTAATCCCCTATATTTCGATTAAAGGCAGCGTTTCTCAACTCAGCGAGTCAGTGCGGGTATCTATAATTTCATGACAGAGGTTTTAATCGACCGCGGAGTCTTTGGGGGGGAAATCCAGCGTTTTTCACCCCAGCGTGTTTTAACAAAAAAAAGCGTCGATTGTATTTGGATGTATCTGGAGCGCTCCCTGCAACACCCGTAATACAGACACCACAGCGGGCTGCTCACCGACCATAATCATTTGATTTTCACCATACAACTGCATCTGAGATGCCGCAATGGTCTGCCGGATTTACATTTCGGTCCGCGGCCGCTGGGGCCTGTGGTTCCAGGTCCGGACGGGCCGAGCGCACGACCCGCTCCTCTGCAGGACGAGCCTCACCTGCCGGCAGGGGCCGCCCGCGCGCCGGCC